AGGAATCAGAGCCCGGCGGCTTAGAGCTGACATTTGAACCGGTCTGAGCCTTCTGTCTAGCTGTCTCCTCCAATCCTCCAGTCATCCCTGATAACATATTTTGATTTCTCTTTTGTTAATACTGTATCATAAATCTAAATCTTCTTTCTGAGCCGACATTAAGGTGCATCCTGGTCTGCTTGGGACACGGAACTTTCAGTGCTAAAACTGGGGCCGTTATGAGCAGACTGGGGTGCTTGGTCCTAGCGGACACCTACTCTGTGTATCTGTACGGGCGAGCCACAGCTGTGTGTACGTGTGTAGTGGGTTGAATGGGGCCCACCAAAAAACATGGGTCCACCTGGAGTCTCAGAATGTGACCTTATTTGGAATAAAGGTCTTTTTTTTAAAACAACAACAACAACAATAAAATCTACCCTTTCAACTAATTTTGAAGTGTACAATACAGTATTGCTAATTCTATGAAACATAGAAATGTTTCATCTTCTGCAACCAAAATGCTTCTCCCAGCGAACAGCAGCTCCTCCTCCCCGCTCCATGGCTGCCACCATTCTGCTTTCCACGGCTGCCACCATTCTGCTTTCCACGGCTACCACCATTCTGCTTTCCACGGCTACCACCATTCTGCTTTCCACGGCTGCTACCATTCTGCTTTCCACAGCTACCACCATTCTGCTTTCGGCTGCTTTGATTCTGACTACTTTAGGTACCTCATGGAAATAGAATCACACAGTGTTTGTATTCTGTGGCTGGCTCATTTCACTTAGTATAACGTCCTCAAGTTTCATTTGTATTATAGACAGGATTTCCTCTCTCTCTTTTTTTTTAAGGCTGAATAATATGGCCGGGCGTGGTGGCTCAAGCCTGTAATCCCAGGCTTTGGGAGGCTGAGGCGGGCGGATCACAAGGTCAAGAGATGGAGACCAGCCTGGCCAACATGGTGAAACCCCATCTCTATTAAAAAGACAAAGCTGGGTGTGGTGGTGCACACCTGTTGTCCCAGCTACTCGGGAGGCTGAGGCAGGTCTATATTTAAGTCCTTTAATCCATTTTGAGTTGAGGTTTGTGTATGTGTAAGGTAAGGGATCCAGTGCTATTCTTTTGCATGTGGATATTTAGTTTTCCTAGCACCATTTTTTAAGATAATCCTTTCCCCATTGTGTAGTCTTGGCACCCTTGTTGAAGATCATTTCTCTTTATATATGTAGGTTACTTCTGATCTCTCTATTCTGCTCCTCTGGTCTATATGTCTGTCTTTATGCCAGTATCATATTGTTTTGATTACAGTAGCTTTGTAAGATGTTTTGAGTTCAGAAAATGTGAAAATTGTAGCTTTGTTCTGTTTTCTTCAGATTGTTTTGGCTGTTCAGGGTGCTTTGTGGTTCCATATGAATTTTGGGACTGTTTTTTCTATTCTTCCAAAAATACCATTGGGAATTTGATAGGAATTTCATTAAACCTATGACTCACTTTGGGTAGTATGGACATTTTAACAGTATTAAGTCTTGTATTCCATGTACATAGGATGTTGACATTTCATATATGGACTTTATTATGTTGAGGCCAATTTCTTTTTTTCCTGGTTTCTTGCATGTTTTTATAATGAAAAAGTGTTCAGTTCAGTCAAATGCTTTTTTTTTTTTACGTATTTTGAGATGATCATACTATTTTTATCTTTCATTCTGTTAATGTGGTGTACCACGTGGACTGACTTTTGTATATTGAACCATCTTTGCATCTCTGGGAAACATCCTACTTGGTCATGATTTATTATCCTTTTAATGTACTTTCGGATTCTAGTTTCTGTATTTTGTTGAGAGTTTGTGCGTCTGTCTTCATCAGGGATATTGGCCGGTATGTAGTTTTCTTTTCTTGTTGTGTCTTTGACTTCATTACTAGTATAATGCTAGTCTCAAGAAAACAAGTTTTGAGGTATTCCCTCCTCTTCATTTGTTAAGGAGAGTTTGAGAAGGATGGGCACTGATTCTTCTTTAAACATTTGATGATAGCGTTCTCCAGTGAAACCATCTTGTCCTAGATTCTTCTTTCTGGGAGAGTCTTGGTTACTGATTCAGTCCCATTGCTAGTTATAGATCTGTCCAGCTTTCCTATTTCATCATGTTTCAGTCTTGGTAGTTTGCGTATCTCTAGGAAGGGATCCATTTCTTCTAGGTTACCTGATTTATTGGTATATACTTGTTCACAGTGGTCTTTCATCATGTTTCAGTCTTGGTAGTTTGTGTATCTTTAGGAATGGATCCATTTCTTCTAGGTTACCTGATTTATTGGTATATACTTGTTCACAGTGGTCTTTCATCATGTTTCAGTCTTGGTAGTTTGTGTATCTTTAGGAATGGATCCATTTCTTCTAGGTTACCTGATTTATTGGTATATACTTGTTCACAGTGGTCTTTTGTTAATATTCTTTTTATTCTGTGGCATCAGTTGTAATGTCCCCTCTTTTATTTCTGATTTTATTTATTTGGATCTTTTCTCCTTTTTTCTTAGTCTGCCTAAAAGTTTGGTCACTTTTTTTGTCAGATAAATGGTGTGTGCCTGTGGCCCCAGCTACTTGGGAGACTGAAGCAGAAGGATCACTTGAGCACAGGAATGAAAGACCAGTGAGGCAACATAGCAAGACCCCCCTTTTCATCTCTTTAAAAAACAAACGAAAAGCACATTGTTAATTTTTTGTTGTTGTTGTTGTTGAGATGGAGTCTTGCTCTGTCGCCCAGGCTGGAGGGCAATGGCACGATCTCGGATCACCGCAACCTCCATCTCCTGAGTTCAAGCGATTCTCCTGCCTCAGCCTCCCTAGTAGCTGGGATTATAGGCATGCGCTACCACGCCCGGCTAATTTTTTGTATTTTTAGTAGAGACGGGGTTTCAACATGTTGGCCAGGCTGGTCTTGAACTCCTGACCTTGTGATCCACCCATCTCGGCCTCCCAAAGTGCTGGGATTACAGGTGTAAGCCATTGTGCCCAGCCGTTTTTCTGTTCGAAAAATCAAGTCTTAGTTTGGTTTATTTTTTTCTATTGCTTTTGTATTTTCTATTTCATTTCTTTCCATTATAATCTTTGTTATAATTTCCTTTCTTCTGCTAACTTTAGCTTAGCTTTTTTCCTTTTTCTGGTTTCCTCAGTTGTAAAGTTGGGTTATTTGAGATCTTCGTTCTTTTTAAACATAGGTGTTTACCGCTACACACTTCTCTCCTGGGATTGCTTTTGCTGTGTCTGACGGATTTTGGTATGCTGCATTCTCATGTTTGTTTGTCTCAAGCTATTTTCTAAATTCCCCTGTGACTTTTTCCTTTGACTCAGTGGTTCATTTTCACATATTTGTGTATTTTCCAGATTTTCTTCTGCTATTGATTTCTAGTTTCATTCCATTGTGGTTGGAAAAAAATTTTTGGTATGATTTTAAACTTCTTAAATTTGTTAAGTCTTGTTTTGTGCCTTAACACATGATGTATCATGGAGAATGTTCTTGAAAGTAATGTGTATTCTGCCGCTTTTGGGTAGAAAGTTTTATAAATGTCTGTTGAGTCACTTGATCTGTAGTGTTCTTCAAGTCCTCTGTTTTTTTATTAGCCTTTTGTTTGGCTGATATACTCTATACATTATCGAAAGTGGGATATTGGTGGCTCACACCCGTAATCCCAGCACTTTGGGAGGCCAAGGTGGACGGATCACTGTAGGTCAGGAGTTTGAGACCACCCGCAACATGGTGAAACCCTATCTCTAAAAAAATACAAAAATTAGCTGGGTGTTGTGGTGCGTGCCTGTAATCCCAGCTACTTGGGAGGCTGAGGCCAGAGAATCACTTGAACCTGGGTGGCAGAGGTTGCAGTGAGCCGAGATCGCGCCACAACAGTCTTGCCTGGGGGACAGAGTGAGACTCTATCTCAAAACAAAAAACAAAAAACCAAAACAAAACAAAAAGCCGCAACAAACTGAAATGAGCTATTGCAATCTCCTACCATTGTTGTGTTGTTTTCGACTTCTTTTTCCAGTTCTGTCAATGTGTGATACCTTTGGGTCTCTGGTGTTGGTACATGCACATTTATAATTGTTATATCTTCCTGGTAAATTGACTCTTTTATCCTTAAATAATGTTGCTTCTGGTCTGTTGTGGCAGTTTTTGTCTTAACGTCTGTTCCGTGTGATGTAAGTATGGTCACCTCTACTGTCTTTGGTTACCATTTACATAGAATACCTCTTTCTACCCTTTCATTTGCAGCCTTTGTAGATTTCTAAATCCAAAGTGAGTCCCTCTGGATAGCATGGAGCTGAAGCTTGTTTTTTTAAGTCCATTTAGCTACTGTGTGTCTTTCGATGAGGGATTTAATTCACTTACATGAGAAGTGATTTCTGATAGGCAAGGACTTACCATTGCGTTTTCCGAATTCTTTGATCTGTCTGGCAGCTCTTTCGCCCTCTCACTGACTTCCTGACTTCCTTTTGTTTCCCTCATTCTGTTTTCCAGCAGTGTTCTTTGATTACTTTTCTATTTTCTGTTGTGTATCGTCTATAGGTATTTTCTTTGCGGTTAACACGGGGACTACATAAAACATTTCGTAGTTACTGTAACTGTTTTAAGCTGACCCGACTTCAGTCACATACAAAACCTGTGTGCTTTTACTCCCTGCACACTTTGTTATTGCGGTCACAAATTACATGTTTCCATATTGTGTATCCATTAACACATTTTACATAATTATTTGTTATACTTTTGTCTTTTGTAAATTATCCCTTAAGTTCTGGGATGCGTGTGCTGAACGTGCAGGTTTGTTACACAGGTACACACGTGCCAACGGTGGTTTGCTGCACCCATCAACCCATCATCTACATTAGGGATTTCTCCTAATGCTATCCTTCGCCTATCCCCCCACCACCCTACTATCCCTCCCCCAGCCCCCCACCACCTTACTAAATCTCTCTCCTAGCCCCCCACCACCCTACTATCCCTCCCCAGCCCTCCACCCCTCAACAGGCCCTGGTATGTGCTGTTCCCCTCCCTGTGTCCTGTGTTCTCATTGTTCAACTCCCACTTATGAGTGAGAACATGTGGTGTTTGGTTTTCTGTTCTTGTGTTAGTTTGCTGAGAATAATGGTTTCTAGCTTCATCCATGTCCCTGCAAAGGACATGAACTCATCCTTTTTTATGGCTGCATAGTATTCCATGGTATATATGTGCCACATTTTCTTCATCCTGTCTATCATTGAGGGGCGTTTGAGTTGGTTGCTAGTCTTTGCAATTGTAAACAGTGCTGCAATAAGCATTCGTGTGCATGTGTCTTTATAGTAGAATGATTTATAATCCTTTGGGTTTATACTCAGTAATGGGATTGCTGGGTCAAATGGAATTTCTGGTTCTAGACTCTTGAGGAATCGCCACACTGTCTTCCACAATGGTTGAACTAATTTACATGCCCACCAGCAGTGTAAAAGCGTTCCTATTTCTCCATATCCTCTCCAGCACCTGCTGTTTGCTGACTTTTAATGATCACTATGGTGTGAGACGGTGTCTCATTGTGGTTGTGACTTGCATTTCTCGAATGACCAGTGATGAGCTTTTTTTCATATGTTGTTGGCTGCATAACTGTCTTCTTATGAGAAGTGTCTGTTCATATCCTTCTACTTTTTGATGGGGTTTTTTTCCTTGTAAATTTGTGTAAGTTCCTTGTAGAATGTGGATACTAGCCCTTTGTCAGATGGGTAGATTGCAAAGATTTTCTCCCATGATGTAGGTTGCCTGTTCACTCCGATGATAGTTTCTTTTGCTGTGCAGAAGCTCTTTAGTTTAAATAGATCCCTTTAGTGAATTCTGGCTTTTGTTGCCGTTGCTCTTGGTATTTCAGTCATGAAGTCTTCGCCCATGCCTGTGTCCTGAGTGTTACTGCCGAAGTTTTCTTATCGGGTTTTTATGGTCTTAGGTCTTACATTTAAGTCTCTAACCCATCTTGAGTATTTTTGAATAAGGTGTGAGGAATTGGTCCCGTTTCCATTTTCTGCACATGGCTAGCAAGTTCTCCCAGCACCATCTATTAAACAGGGAATCCTTTCCCCGTTGCTGTTTTTGTCAGGCTTGTCAAAGATCAGATGGCTGGATACTTTTGTCTTTTAACCTCCATTCCAGAATTAAAAGTGATTTACGCACGGCTGCTACATATTAGAGTATTCTGTATTTGTCTATATGTTTACCTTTAGTAGTGAACTTTGTGCTTTTGTATGCTTTTCTTTTCCTATCAAGCATGCCTTCATTTCATCTTGAAGGACTGCCTTTAGTAACTCTTGTAAAGTCAGTCTAGTAGCGAGGAACTCCTGCTTTTGCTTATTTGGGAGAGTCTTTATTCTTGGAACGTGACAGGTTTTTATTCTCTCAGCACTTTGAACGTATTATCTCACTTGCTTCTTGCTTGCGAGGGTTATGCTGTGAAGCCCACTGATCGCCTTTTAGGGGCTTCATTGTATGTGACAAGTTGCTTTTCTTTTGCTGCTTTAAAAATTCTCCCTGGGCCAGGCACGGTGGCTCACGCCTGTAATCCCAGCACTTTGGGAGGCTGAGGTGGATCTCCTGAGGTCAGGAGTTTGAGACCAGCCTGGCCAACATGGTGAAACCCCAACTCTACTAAAAATACCAAAATTAGCCAGGCATGCTGGTAGGTGCCTGTAATCTCAACTACTCAGGAGGCTGAGCAGGAGGATCACTTGAACCCAGGAGGCAGAGGTTGCAGTGAGTCAAGATTGCACCCCTGCACTCCAGCCTGGGTGACAGAACGAGACTCCTGTCTCAAAAAAAAAATTCTCCCTGAAAAGCTAGAACTTTGAACGCGTGCTCTAACTTTCTCCCCGCAGGGAGAGGCCAGGAGTTAGGGGTTTTCTCCTGCTTATTTTGTGCCGAGCTGGAGAGCATGGACTATGGCAAATCGGAACATGCTGATCTAAACCCCTTCCTTTATTCTCAGCAGCCCTTGACCGGGTGCCCTTTCCTGTTCTAAGCCATCCCCTGGGCAGTCCCCTTGTAAAGTCTTAACATTGTACTATGGTCCAGGGAGGAGCGAGAAGCTGGAAGTTTCCTCTTGGCCATACCGTGCTGGCCTCGGGGCGGGACTGTGCTGAGTCGACCGTGAGTTTCCCTGCCAGCTTCATCAGCTGCTTTTGCACTAGCTCAGGGGCAGGAGCCTCTTCGTTGGTTTCTCTGTTTCTCACAAGGGGAATTATTCTATATATTTTTGTGAGTTGGTGTCTCTGTAGGGACAAAGAGGGTCTTGGACTTCCTATTTTGCCATGTTGCCAAAGTCACCTCCTGGAATAGTCTTTACGAATGTCATTAAGGTGAGGATCTCGAGGTGAGATCTTCTTAGATTGGGGGAAGCTGATTTCAGTGATGAGTGTCAAGAGAGACAGAAATGGAGGAGACAGAAGCACAGAGGAGGAGCCACGTGAAGCCAGAGGCAGACACTGGAGACATGTCTTCATAGGCCAAGGAGTGCCAAAGACTGTTGGCAGCCAGCAGACGCTGGGAGAGAGGTGTGGAACGGGTCCTCTCTTAGGCTCTCCAGAAGGAGCTCACTGTGGCGACACTTTTGAAGTTGGACTTTTGGCCTCCAGAGGCATGAGAGAATGCATTTCTGTTCCTCCCTGCTGGCAAGCTTGGGGCGATCGTTACAGCAGCCCCAGGGAACGAGTGAACAAAGGAAGTGAGTTTGGGGGTTTTACTGTCAACATCTGGGGCCGTTAGACCTGCTTTTGGGTCAGCAGCCTGACCCAGCTGGTCACTCAGTTGGGCCGCCTGCGTCTGCGGCTGCTCTCCACAGGGGTGTTCTGACTGGGGATTTCTGCTCAGCCTTAGTGCCCTGCGTTCCCTGAAGGTGCTCTTCCTGCTCCCTGGAGTGCCCTGGGGGCTACGTCTGGGGAGTGTGCAGGGTGAAGGCTGAACCTGTGTGGCTCCAGACTCCTGGTCTAATTAACCAAAACAACGTTTTTGTTGTTGTTGTTTGAGATGGAGTTTTGCTCTTGTCGCCCAGGCTGGAGTGCGATGGCGCGATCTCGGCTCACTGCAACCTCTGCCTCCCGGGTTCAAGTGATTCTCCTGTCTCAGCCTCCCGAATAGCTGGGATCACAGGCACGTGCCGCCACGCCTGGTTCACTTTTGTATTTTTAATGGAGACGGAGTTTCATCATATTGGCCAGGCTGTTCTCCAACTCCTGACTTCAGATGATCCACCTGCCTCAACCTCCCCAAGTGCTGGGATTACAGGCGTAGCCACTGTACCCGGTCAACAAGTTTTAGATGGGTTATTTTTAGGGGAATTAATAAAGGATTTTGTTTGGAAAAAAATGCTTTGCCGCTTAACAACAACAGGGAAAGGAAAAGGAGCCTCATGAACCCACAACTGTGTTCCTGCTTCCCTGTCTCTCCTGACGCCGTTCTTTGCCCAGCTGTTTCTGCCGATGAGTGCTCTTCTTGGGCGCAGCAGTTGCTGCAGTCACAGTGCCTGGCAGGTGGACGGGGGCTTGGAGCAGACGTGCAGGGAGGACGGGAGTTTGAAGAGCCCCTGGGGCTTCAGAGAACCACGGGGCGCTAAAAGCTCATTCCTGGCCACGCGCATCTGTTGTAGGTGCTGGTCGCCTTTCGTGGCCAGCATCCTGCCAGTTCTTCCATCCTAGGCCGCTGTCTCCATTTCACTGATGGCTCCTGGCAAAGCACAGAGGGGAGAAGTTAGGAAGGGGTGGGGTGAAATGATTAAATATGGGGAGTGGGTAAAAATGTGCAGGCAGGGGGAAAAGGGAGGGGGCGTAATAACAAAAGGAAGAACTGCACCTACATTAGAGTGCTGTAATTTCCCCAAGTGTTGCCACAGAAATCACACTTCAGACTACGCCGTGCACAGATGTGTGGGGAACGATTTACCTGTGTTGTTCGCTCCCTGTCGCCTGCGCCCTCTTTCTCGTGTCTCAGTCAGCAGGACTCATTTCATACATTATCCTCCGCGGACTCTTCATTTCTCCGCACTGCCAGGGTGACCCCTTTTCAAGTCACGGACTTATTAAGGCTGCCCTTTATTTTGCGTCACTTACCATTTTCGGCGCTCCTTTATCTCACTCCTTTGCATTCAGAATTTCCGGCCTAAATCAATGGCCTCGACACGAAGCTCTCTGCTTTCTGTTTGGCGTGAGTAGCTCCTTTCCTGAATCAGAAATTGATTTTTCCTCCTAGAAGTCTAGCCTGGGAAATAGTCAATATGCTTTCTAAGTCTTAATTTGTTAGAAGGAAAGATGAAGATGAAATTTGGTGATGGGGATTCCCTGGAAAAGAAGCCCTAGGCACTCCTACCCTCACGCGTTCACACTCTGTCGTGATGCATTTCTTGTATTCTGCTTTTCCTCTCTAAAGAAGGGAAGCTTCTTTCTGGGACCAGGACACTGGGCTCATTAGTTTCAGCCCCAGCTCTGCCACATGCTTGCTGTTTAACTTTTAGAAAGTTAGCCCATCTTTCTGTTTTCCGGACTATGAAATGGAGACTCACTGATCTCTTGGATGAATGAAGTGCCAGGGAACCACTATGAGACTTGCCCCATGCAGGAGTAATGAATGAATCCATTTCAAAACAGCTGGATGTGAAGGCCACAGCCCAGGCTCTCCTCGGACTCATTCTGTTTAGAGCGCAGCTTTCATGCAACGTGTGTGGCGGGCAGTTCCTGACGAAGCCTCTGCTGTGCTTACAGAGCACGTAGCCCTCTTGGGGGAGATGGGAAAGGATCTTGGAATATTAGCCACTGTTCCCATTGCAGGGAACTATGCTAAGAAATGTGCTCCCAGGTTGTTTTGCAGCCAGATGTGTCTGTAAAGAACTCATAACTGGCTGAAGTCAAGAAAACCCACCTCTGTCGTAGCCACCTGGAAGGCAGGTTTTGGTGGATTTTGAATCACTTGAGGCTCCACGTGCTTCCTGGCTTCAACATCTACCGGCCTGCAGATTCTGCAGCTACGCTGGTCAGTCCAGCTGCTGTCACATATTGGCCGTGGTTCCAGCCTGGCTCTCCCTGCCACCACCTGGAGCATGGATCATCCCAGCCCAGAGGTCATGGTCAAAAACTACGCATGGTTACCAGAGAGCCACACGGCCACCGACACAGCATGCCCAAACCACCCACGCCCGAGTATCAGTTCTTAACATCCTCTGTGCTTTCTTGCTGGAGTGCGGCCTTCTCAACCACTCATAAGTACCTTCCACCATCTCTTTTGTTCTTTTCACCGCTTGGAAAAGAGGAAGGTCACCTGAAGGTCACCACTGGAAACCCTTGCTGGCCATGGGCCGTCACCGCTCTGTGACACTGTCCAGACTTGGGCTGTAGGTTGTCTGGTACCTGTGCAGCCTCTCTTTTATTTTACTTTTATTGTAAAACCTGTGTGCAAAAAAGTCTATGTAGTGTAGAGATAAAGTTTAAAGAATAGTAGGCCGGGTGCGGTGGCTCATGCTTATAATCCCAGCACTTTGGGAGGCCAAGGAGGGTAGATCACAAGGTCAAGAGATTGAGACCATCCTGGCCAACATGGTGAAACCCTGTGTTTACTAAAAATGCAAAAATTAGCTGGGCATGGTGGTGCACACCTGTAGTCCCAGCTACTCGGGAGGCTGAGGCAGGAGAATTGCTTGAACTGGGGAGATGGAGGTTGCAGTGAGCTGAGATTGTGCCACTGCACTCCGGCCTGGAGAGAAAGCAAGACTCTGTCTAACAAAAAAAAGTTTAAAGAATAGTAGTGAAAAGACATCCACGTACCCTCCACCAAGCTTGAGGATAGTAACCGTAGTTCTGAAGTCCTGTATCCGAAGCTGCTTCCCTCACCGTTCCTTCCCCTCTATCCCATCAAAGCTATCCTCTGTGCTGAATTTAGTGTTAATCAACCCCTTGATAGTACTGTAGTTTCTTTTTTACAACATATTAAATATTTAAAAAAGATATTGCTTAGCAGTGCTTCCTTCTGAACTTTATATCAATGGTGTATAGTATGTATTTCTCTCAATTTGTTCATTTTCTAAATGTTACTTTTTGAAAGATGTATTTGTGTTGAGTTAGCTACAGTAATTTTAAAATTAGGATTTATATTCCTTAGAATTTTATCTCTGGGGAATTTTTGAGTCTTGAGTTTAAAGGACCTTCCTTCAGAAAGGACTCGAGTTTTATTTCTCCAGGTACCTGAGGTATTACCAGCCCAAAGGGTCGTAGAAATAGATTTTGGGTGTTTTTGAACACACATTGGGTGTAAATTCCGACTCCAGCCCTACACTTAGGCAGGCTTTTCTTCATTTCATTTACTGCACCGGAGCTGAGTCTGTGCGAGGCAGGTCTCCTCAGTGCGTCTCTGCAGCACAGGCTTCTGTTGGAGTAAGCCCGTGAGTGTGTTGACTCTATTTTTTGTAGAGTTCTCTCATTTGGATTCCTACACTTCTAGAAATGTAAGGCAGATAGCAATGAAACAGCAAAGCAGATATTGGTTATCTTTTGCCATCGTGTGGTCACCACAAAGCTTAGTGCTTTAAAATTACAATAATTTGTTTGGGTGCAATGGCTCACACCTGTAATCCCGGTACTTTGGGAGGCCGAGGCGGGCGGATCACATGGTCAGGAGTTTGAGACCAGCCTGGCCAACATGGTGAAAACCTGTCTCTACTAAAAAATACAAAAAATTAGCCAGATGTGGTGGCAGGTGCCTGTAATCCCAGCTACTTGGGAAGCTGAGGCAGGAGAATCGCTTGAACCAGGGAGGTGGAGGTTGCAGTGAACCAAGATGGTGCCACTGCCCTCCAGCCTGGGTGACAGAGCGAGACTCCATCTCAAAAAAAATAATAATTGTTTTTGCTCTTGTGTCCAGGAGTCAGTTAGGGTCTGCTGGGGCAGGCTGGGCTGAGCTCCGCTTGGTACTGGGGCTCCCCACCTCTCTCAGCTTCCTCAGATCAGTACAGCATATTCTTCTAATGGCAGTGGCAGTATTTATTCCAAGACTGCTGGGCAGAAACATGCAGTGCCTCTTAAATTAAGTCTAGACCTCATGTACTTCCTTTTTACTCACGTTCCATTAGCTCGAGCAATTCCTGTGGCCCCGGTCCAGTAGGAAATCTGTTACCTTCTGCCTCCAGTGGAAGGAGCAGCAAAGTCACATGGCAGAAGGTGTAGATACAGTAGAGAACTTTGATCTTTGATTCTGTTTGCCACGGGGATGTTGCTTTCCTTTACCTATGCTTGCTAGTGTTGAAGATCTGTGCTCACTGAATTCCTTTCTCAAAAGTTTACATTTCCCAAGGGTTTGGTTTATTATTCAAGAATGTTTATTTCTACTCTGGAAGTCTCTCAGGTGGGATATTCCAGATGAGATATTTTCTAAAATTGAGAAAAAACAACAACAAAAAACAAAGGCCAAGTTGATCGTGACTCTCACCTGTAATCCCAGTACTCTGGGAGGCTGGGGAGGGAGGACCGCTTGAGTCCTGGAGTTTGAGACCAGCTTGGTGCCCCACTGTGGGTTGGGTTCAGTCTGCTCTGCGTGCAAGCAACAAAGCGAGACTCCATCTCAACCAAAATATTTTAAAAAATAACAATAAAAATTAGCCAGGTGTGGTGGTGCATAGCTGTAATCCCGGCTACGTGGGAGGCTGAGGTGGGAGGATCCCTTGAGTCCAGAATCTCAAGGCTGCCGTGAGCTGTGATGGCACCACTGCACTCCAGCCTGGGTGACAGAGCAAGACCCTCTTTAAAAAACAATACAAAAGGAAGAAAAAGGGACATCAGGAGAATGCTAACTCAGATCACCACTTCCCTGGCTTCGCAGCATTGTCAGGGTGGGGCTCCTGAGAACAGAATTGCATGTGGGAGCCTCATTTCTTACGACTTACTCATCAGACGTCAGGGCACCACCTGGTCTGCGAGGGTACCTGTGGATAACCTGTGGCAGGGATGGGTGGGATAAGGTAAAGCAAGACTCAAACTCAGGCTGGGGGTGTGAGCTCATACCTGTGATCCAGGACTTTGGGAGGCCGAGGCAGGCAGATCACTTGAGGCCAGTAGTTCAAGACCAGCCTGGCCAACACATGGCGAAGGACACGTGGACGTGGTGAAGGACATGTGGACATGGCGAAACCCCATCTTCACTAAAAATACAACATTAGCCGGCATGTTGGCGTGCACCTGTAATCCTAGCTGCCCCAGGTGGGCAAGGCATGAGAATTGCTTGAACCTGGGAGGTGGAGCTTCCAGTGAGCCAAGATGACACCACTGTACTCTAGCCTGGGCGACAGAGTGAAATTCTGTGTCAAAAAAAAAAAAAAAAAAAAAAAAAAAAAAAAAAAAAAAACAAACAAACAACAACCCTCAAACACACATTTAAAATATTGATACTTAAGCCATTGATGAACTGTATGCTAATTGTGCTGAAAAATAATGGGATACAAACTTGGTATATTTACAAGAAAGAGAAATTAGGTGTTGACTATTCATAAATTAATTAAATATTCCTCATTTTATAAGAGGAGTTGGTGCAAAGTAAATTTAAATAGCAAACCTTGCAATTTGGAATTTTTGGCTGGGTGCAGTGGCTCACACCTGTAATCCCAGCACTTTGGGAGGCCGAGGCGGGCAGATCATTTGAAAGACCAGCCTGGCCAGCATGGTGAAACACCATCTCTACTAAAAGTATAAAAAATTAGCCAGGTGTGGTGGTATGCGCCTGTAGTCCCAGCTACTCGAGAAGCAAAGACAGGAGAATCACTTGAACCCAGGAGGTGGAGGTTGCAGTAAGCCGAGATCTTATCACTGCGCTCCAGCCCCAGGTGACAGAGCAAGACTGTGTCTGAAAAAAAGAAAAAAAAAACAGTTTTTAAATTTTCTTACGACTTTTCAGAAATCTGTTTATCACGTATAACAGGAAAATATTTGCAGGTCTGGGACTCTTTTCTATTGTGGTGATCAGTATATGTTTTAAAGATTTCATTTTTATTAAACAATGTTTTAAGGATATATATATGGCTCATTTCATATACTGGTTAATGTTCGTTACGTTAAGTCATTACATTTTCACATGAAGCCAAATTTAAGTCTTAGAGTTGGACACTGCTAATTGTTTTGGTTATTCCTAGCTTTTTGTAAAATACATACATGTGGTTTTTTCCTTCCAGATTATTGGGCTTTGTCTCTATTTTCAAGACAGATCAGGAGATGACTGTAACTGCTGTGTGGCAGCCTGATGGTTTCAGCGCAGTCCGGGGATTGTATCATTGTATCAGCCTTTGATCTGAGGGTCTCTGTGTGTCTCGTCTCTTTACTGACACATGCCCATGGGAGAGCAAGGAATTCCTAACTTCAGCAGTAACTTGGGAATTTCATTGAAAAGAAGCAACTCCTTTCCATCTCTCATGCTTGTTTTTCCCGCCATCTTCTGGGTTTTCAAAATTATCTTTTGGGTATTCCAATCGTACTATGATAGGCTTTAAAAAAATAAAAGAATGAACAGAAAAGGAAACAGCTGGGAAATCCACCAGCAGAGCCAAGTTCCACGTCCCAAATTAATTTATTTCCTATCTTCTTACGTATTACATGTACCATCTCTGTATCCCACTCTATTTTCGGAGTGAGCATTATTCCCGGAAAGAACTTTTGTATTTTCTCGGAGTCCATCTGCTCTGACTACTTATCTCCCACCTGAAGCCATAATGTTCCATTCCGAGCCTCATAATCATTTTCACAGCAACTAAATGTGATTTCACACACAGCAGATTATGACTTCTGTGGGGAGTGAGCAATGTAAAATGATTAACCCCTTAGGACAGGGACCCCATTTCACACTAATCTCCTTAGCAACCAACAGAAGACAGGAAAATGGGCAGCATAAATGGATTTGAGGATAATGCAGCATTCCATTTAACCATCAGCTCCAGACGCCTCCGGAACAGGTTTCTAACCGGAAATGATAGCCGACACCAAAGAGTATTGAGCACATGTCCCTGGAAAAGGTGGGACTCACATGGAAGTAGGACGTGGGAACGTGTGCCGCAAAAATTGGGGGTCCACTGGGGATGAAGTCTTGCCTGACCATGGTGGGTCGCTGGGCCAGCAGCACCCCAGAGAGATACCATCACGGAATTTATGGATGATGGGGTTCCCAATGGCTTACGTCTAAATGAGTTCATTCTAATTTTGTCTAGTTGCTTTATGTTTTGGGGAAGAAGAGCTATGCCACATGTAGATGTGAATTAATACTTATAACTGCCCACAGAAACAAGGATAACCCAAAGGTCTTGATTTTTTTCCCTAAACATTTTTTTTTTTTTTTTTCCCTGAAAGACTTCATGGCAATTGAATACCCTGTTTTCAGCTTCCTGTCGCTGATTCAAGGAAGGGAGTTTTTATTGGGAAGAAGAAAGTCAATCTCAACAATGCCACAACTGTTTTTTTTTTAAAATAACCTTCCATGCCTGTGACACTGGCAGCTCATAGAATGGGTTCCATTGTATTTGAATGCTTGTGAAGTTAATGCTACCTTTTTCAGCGTGACTTACATATAGAGGATGTCTGGTTGGTTTGTAGCCAATGGCTGTGAGATTTGATGACTCACAGTATCTCAGTAATAAAATGTTTCCCTCTGCATCACATGTGAATTTTGGAATCTTCACCAGAGCTGATTGATCAGCTCAGGCAACTGTCTCCATAAAGTGTAATGAAATTAGAATTTTGGTTTAGTCATAAATGTAGTTGCAGCGTGGGATTGGAAAGCATCTTCTGTCCCTTGAAGAGAATGTGATCTCTGAAGAAGTTACCAGCCTGTGGTGGAATCCAGGCATTCTGGAACCCTTCGTTACCCGAGTCAATTATTATTATTGTAATTTCGACTCAGCAAGTGTATGAACTTGAAAACATCATCTAATAAACATTTATTAGTAGCTACCCTTTGCCTGATAGCAGAAAATGAGAGGGAACCAGATGCACCCACTTTAATTAATTGCTGTAATCAGGAGTGGTATGCAACATGGCGGGTGAAAATTGCCGACTTAAATTCTGGCTTTGTGGCTCAAACGGAGTCTTGAAGTCTTTTTCCCTTGAATAGCTACAGAACTAGAGCCTCTGAGTCTTCCTGTCTCGTCCATCTGAACTTCTTTTCTTTTTGGGCTGAGGTGTGTTCAGTTGAAACTCTTGATGTAGTAACAGGTTCTGAATTGCTAATTATTCTGCAGGAGAGTTGGGAGTTTATTCCTGAGTTTTCTCAGTTCATTCAAAAGACCAACACAGAGAGGAACAAGGTCAGGAAATGGAATGGAGACAATGCACGTGATCCTCCTTTTGCCTACAAGTGGCACAGATTGAAGTGCAGCCCTCTGCCCAGAGAAAGCTTTTCTGATGTCCCTAAACCATCCTTTAGGCCTCTCCTTAGACATGGCTTTCTCTGAGAAGCCTTCCCAAACTGTCCCACCTGCCCTCCCTCCTGCCTCCAACTGTTAGGCTTCCTTATTCCTGTCTTATACTTCATCTACTTTATTTTAGAATTGCCCATTTATTGTCTATATCCTCTTTTACTTGGGGTCAGGGACTGCGTCTTGTCACCTCTATCTCCAGAATCTAATACAGAGCCTAACTTTCAGTAGGTGCTTAATCAAACCTGAATGAATGAATGAGTGAATGAATGGGAGTAGTGTGTCTCACCTAGGTATACCTTACTCATTTCTGCATCCCCGGTACCTACTGTTACCAGAAACGAGGTCCAATCCGGACCCCAAGAGAGGATAATTCGAGACGAGTCCATAAAATGAAAGCAAGTTTATTAGAGAAGAAACAAAACTTCTTTACTTAGAGAAGTGAAGAAACTCCATAGGCAGAGCAGCCCCGAGGGCGGCTGGTTGCCCACTTTTATGGTTATTTTTTTATTATATGCTAAATAAGGGTTGGATTATTCGTACCTCCCCTTTTTAGAAGATGGAGGGTAACTTCCTGACGTTGCCATGGCATTGTAAACTGTCATGGCGCGGGCGGGAGCGTAGCTGTAAGGACAGCCAGAGGTCACTGTCGAGGCTGTCTTGGTGTTGGTGGGATTTGGCTTCTTTACTCAGCCTGTTATATCAGCAAGGTCTTCATGACCTGTACCTTGTGCCGACCTCCTGTCTCACCTGTGACTTAGAATGCCTGACCACGTGGGAATGCAGCCCAGTAGGTCTCAGCCTCATTTTACCCAGCTCCTATCAAGATGGAGCTGCTCTGGTTCACAGGCCTCTGACCCTACTTGTGTATGAGTTACCTATTGTTGCATAACAAACCACTACAAAACTTAGTGTCTTAAAGCAACAGCTATTCATTCAGCCACGATTCCGCAGACTGGCCGTTTAGGCCGGCCCAGCTGGTCGGTTCCGGTGTCAGCTGGGCTCCCTCACGTGTCTGTGATCAGCTTCCAGGTGAGTTGAGTGCTGGGTGATGTCAGCCGGCCTCAGCTCGGGGTCTCGTCTCTCTTCCACGTGATCTTTTTTCTTCCGGCAGGCTAGCCCGGGCCTGTTCGAGTGGCAGCTAGGCAGGGTTGTGGCAAGTGAGCAGACGGGTGCCTGACCTCTGGAGGCTCGAGCTCAGCTGGCACAGCCTCACTTCTACTGGATTTTCTTGGCTAAAGAAGTCACAGAGCCAGTTCTGACCTAAAGGGAAGGAAAACTGAGCGAGAGGAGGAACTGCACAGGTACGTTGCAGAGGAGCAGGAAGCACGGAGGAGAAAAGCCGAGGGCGTTTTGCAAGCGGCCTATTACTTTTGGCGTAGCCTAGGCACTCTGAAGCGCTTGGCTCCTTTGAGTCCAGCAAGTACTAGATTTAGCCAGTATCTTGGGAGATCTTCCCAAGAAGACCACCTTTCTCTCTGGCTCCCTTCTGTATCCCTGCCCTTCCCGTCTCCTGTTCCCTGCTCCCTCTGCTTCGTTGTGACCCAAGTGAGCTGGCGATGCTGCTGTCAGCGCCCGGGTCCTCTTCAGTGGGTGACGCATCCTGGGCGCCCACCGTTCTCTTGAGCATGTTGTATAAACCAGACCCCATGCCCGGCAGGACCAAGCAGGGAGCAAGAAAGACAGGATCCTTGTTCTCCACTGGGAAAGATAGGAAACCACGAGTGTGATTTCTCGTAAAGACATGCAGGATTGAAGCACAGGTAACAGGGCACCCGCCTTGTTGAGGACCTGGCGTTGAAGCTGAGACCTAAGGGGTGGGTAGGAAGTGGTGTTCTCACCACAGAGGAGGTGGCAGCGACAGTGTGGGGCCCAGAGAAGGTGCGGCGGAGCGCTTTTCAGGGGGAGGGAACGCGCAGAAGGGCCCTGGTGTGGGAAGAGCGTGATGTTTGGGGAAGTGGGAGAGGATAGGCTGGCTCCAGCCCAGGGGCGAGGGATGGCAGAGGTGTGCGGGATCAGGTCTCCTGGGACTGGGAAGCCAAGGCGCTTTCCCAAGAGTTAAGTGGAAAGCTGTTGAAGGGTTACAAACAGGGGAGAGAAGCGACCCAATTTACTTAAAAAAAAATTTTTTTTTTAAATTTATTTTTGAGGCAGAGTCTCGCTCTGTCGCCAGGCTGCAGTGCCATGGTCCAGTGTCTGCTCACTGCGACCTCCGCCTCCTGGGTTCAAGCTAGTCTCCTGCCTCAGCCTCCCGAGTAACTGGGACTACAGGCACGTGCTGCCACACCTGGCTAATTTTGTATTTTAATTTTAGTAGAGAAAGGGTTTCACCATATTGGCAAGGTTGGTCTCGAACTGCTGACCTTGTGATCCGCCTGCCTTGGCCTCCCAAAGTGCTGGGATTACAGGCATGAGCCACCGTGCAATATACTTTTTAAAATCACCCTGGGCTGCATGGACAATACATTTAGAGGTGTGCAAGACTGGACTTGAAATTCTTTCCATTCTCTGTCATCGAAACACCCTACTCAGCAGGGTGTGTGTGTGGGGAAGAAAGCAGCCCGATGACACTGAGCGCACCAGTTACTGAGGACCTTGTCAGTGGTATTTGTGCCGTGTTGGAAACCTCGGAGCTGAGTGTTCTGGAATGTCCTCTCAGCCTGTGAGTGCACAGTGGGTACAGGGAGCTGGTGCCCCAGGGAGAGGAGGGAGCTGTCACTGCCAGCTGCCCAGGGCAACCCCTATTCTTTCTGACCTGGCTGGCCTGCTGGCAAGGCTGCAGAGGGGCTCCTCGTAGCTGTGGAATCCTCAAGCAGCCCTTGCAAGTGGCTCATTTCAGAGGGGATGGTGCCCGGTGGCTGCTTCTTGGGATCTCGGAGCAGGTGCTTCCTCTGCCTCACTTCTCCCTTGTTCGTTTCCCCCACTGGGCGCTCTTTTCCCTTTTCACTGGATGTTGTTTAAAAAATGT